GTTGTGGTTTCATGTCAAGAGAATGTCTCAGATGACACTTGACACATTTATTCAAAACAACAAAAGAGAACACAAGCAGAAGCATTTATAATGAAAGAAAGATCATCCCAAATTATAATCGAATGGATCAACACGCAGAGCACTGACGGGTCTCGTCTTTGCTGTAAGATGAAGAAGGCCATGCAGCCCAGCAAGCAATAGCCGTCATAGTTTTGGTTAACTATATAACGATAATAGCGTCCACACCAGCGAATGATATTGATTATAAAACGCACGACCTGCAGTTTCGTCGTCTGCCGCTTTAAATGCTCAAACGCAGCATTAATTCTGATTGGCTGTCAATGTTTTGTCAGCTGGAAATAAATCGTTCTGAAAGTGATTCAACGATTTCTCTGTGCCGTTTTCGTAAGTTGTGGTGTGAACTGTTATTCTTTTATATTTAGAATGATTTTACTATAGCCTATCTTTATGGTTATTATAGCTAGTTATCGTCCTTGGGCCTTGATTCAGCTCTCCCCAAAATATACAGTCTGTGTAAAAATAGATGCACTGTGTGAATGAACAAACGTGACTGGCTTGTAAAACCTTCTAGCTGTACAATACACATGCTTTCTTTTTTTCTGAGACATACTGTCTAATAGGCCTAATTTAGTTATTTTACAGTCTTCGCATGAATCAAAGGGTGTGATTAAGTCAGAATAATTCGAGGGAAATCATAAGTCCGCCCTTTTCATACACCCATAAGACAGTATCTGATTCCCGTGAATCAGAGTGACGAGTTTACTGGATGCATTGGAGGGTGTGGTTCCCTCGCTGCCCGCTGATGAGACACGGCTCCGGAGACATCGGCTCATTCACAGACGGAGTGTTCGCATGACTCAGGAAGCATTTCGCACCTCACAAGCACACTCCCTGGACAGACCGGTTCTGAGAGCTCAGGAGCCTGCGGGCAGGGCCGACCCGGGCGTGAGGCGGGGCCCGGTGTGTGAGAGAAGCCCGTCTCAGTCGGTGTGCATCACACCCAGCGCTGAACTTTACTGCATGTGCATGCAAATGACGAAATATGATTGTTTTCATCACGTTTCAGCATAATAGCGTAGGCCTACATGCCGTCTAGTAGGAATTGTTGATAGTTCACGAGTCAATAATTACATATAGCCTTCTATTATAGGGTGACCAACAGTCCTGTTTTCACGTCCTGCCTGTTTTTTATAAAGTGATGAAAATGTCCTGGTTTTCAAAAAACTGCTGGGAGAGATCAGCTCTACAGCAAAATATTGATGGGCAAACAAGGAGGATGAGGAAGAAAAACAGGATAAAGAGGAAGAAAACTAAAGATATAAATATATTTTGTTAGTCCGTTTTTGTAAGTTTGTAAGAGCTATTTTTGTTCAATTTGGAGGTATTTCTTTTAGTTATTTATTATTTTATTTTTCTAATACAGAAGAGACATTATTTCTATCATTATTTCATTCATTATTTTTGAAACCTGTCATAATAAAACATGTTGTGTAAACCTCTGAGAAGCCAGAATTGGTCTTACAACAAATTTCTATCCATATGGAGGCATAGCCTACTTTAAATGTATTGAAATTAATAAGGTATCTTTGAGTAAACTTCGAGTATCATCTGAGTATCTGTTTGCCGGGCCGAGTGTCCTGGTTTTTGGTAATCAAAATATGGTCACCCTATAGTTCTATATCTTACAGCAAAGACGAGACCCGTCAGTGTTCTGCGTGTTGATCTACTCGATTAATTTGGGCTGATCATCCTTTGATTATAATTGCTTCTGCTTGTGTTCTCTTTTGTTGTTTTGAATGAGTGTTGAGTGTCAGTTTCTCTGAGACATTCTCTTGACATGAAACCACAACATGAAGCCCCTGAAAAAATATGAAATGCCCCGAGAAACTTTACAAGTTAAAAAGTTACCTTAAAAATTTTGCGAACGAACACAAAACATTTGCAAAAAAACGGAAAAGCATTGACATATAATTTCCCCTCCCATTTCATATTTTTTTTTCCATCACACCCAACGCTGAACTTTACTGCATGTGCAAATGACGAAATATGGTTGTTTTCATCAGTATTTACAATGCACGTTTCAGAATAGCGTACCGTCTTGTTGATAGGTCACGAGTCACGACTCACTAATGACCTCCCAGCAAGCAATTATGCATTTAAAAGATGTCTAATAGCAGCCCTGATGTTTAGGCTGAAACAAGGCAAAATTTGGGCTGTCAGTGAAAATTGAATAGATGTCTACTATAGAATAGACTAGTCATCAATTATTTAACAAAGAAATGAAACGAGTGAAGAAATGAAACCAAACACCTTGGCTTGTAATGACGGTTGACTTCATGATGGAGGCTATCATCATCTCGCTAGTTGTTTTGGCAAAAAACGACATGTTCAAGATTTTTTGGGCTAGAAGTGGGTTCCTCATAGCTGGACTATATACATAGTTATCGTTCTTGGTGTGAATAGGCCTTTAGAAAGACCTGCAGTCTTTTTTTTAAATGGTTTTTCACACCAAAGCCATTGAACCAGTTCGTAACACTTTATTTTGTTGGTACCTTTTGAACTAACTCAGAGTATTAGAAGACTGTCTGCTTGCTAACACTTTATTTTGATGCTCAACAACAGATATTATAAGTAAATTTGCAAATACGTCAACTTATTCTATAACCTTAACAGTCTACTGATACTCTACTAACACTCGAATGAGAGTTAGTCATGTAGGTGTAACGCTACAGTCAACAGAATGTGTTAAAGGACCATCAAAATAATGTGAAACCACCAGTTCTTCTAAATTAACCCTTTTTTCTAGTGTGAAGAACATTTTAATAATCTAAAGAACCGTTGTTTGAGAAGGTTCTTCATGGAACCATCAATGCCAATAAAGAACCTTTATTTTCAAGAGTTATTAAGTTATAAATGGTCAAATATCAGTACAGAATTTAAATATTACATGACAGATTATAATATAGAGGTTGACTGAATATTGATTATTTAATTGCAGAGACTGAATCATTAGAAAATGAAAGAACATATTGTCTTTCTATGTCAATTATTCCTGATGGTAAGTGGAATGTAAGATCACAGTTTTTTTAAAGGTTAATATTAAGCATCTTTATTTTAGAATCAAACTACAGACATAAACGGATGAATAATGTAATAGGTGTGAAAATCCCCAGACTCAGGGGAAGAATGACAGGGGTCGCACATCCCTAACGAGAGATTAAATTACTGTGATTGAGAGATTAACCACCCTAACCCATCTAATGACCTTTGCTTCAGTTAAGTTTCTGATCTTATCATTTCCTTTGGTGTTCTCATGTGTTTATGCTTTAACATGTATTGTATAGCTATACAAATCTATTCAAATGTCCATCGTTTTATTGAACCATTTTAATGCAATTTGTCTCAAATGAATAAAAGTCCAGAGTAGTTTTAATCCAAATTTTAAAAGAACAAAACAGTTTTGAAGGACCCTTTCTGTGTCAGAAAGTTTGTTTATCGACGTAACCTCCACAAAAAATAACTAGTATACGGTGTATACATTCACAATTTCTGAGATTGTTTTCTAACTGCCACCAGGGACGGTTAAACTAGTTACATAAACAAACATTATATATTACAGCAGGGACTGGTATACGGTTAAAAAGCTGGGAATAACTTCAACGTTATGTTTTTGAAAGAAACTGGTGCCCCCAAACCCCCCCTGATCAAACAATTATATTGCAAATTATTATTAATGTTCAAAATAACTATTATTACATTAACATTTTTACTGTGACGGCTAAGCTGTATCTTGTGAGACAAAAGCAAAGTGGATCTAACCAGGACAGATCTCGTCAGAAACACACAACTATCACTACACAAAAGTGTGTAGTTTGACTGAAGTTTAACTCCGCATGCGTGTGAATCACCAGCAACAAAGGTGTGATAAGATTTACTAATGAAAAAATGTGCAACCCATTTTAATTCTATAGAATTTCACCAGCATGCAACGCTATGAATAAAGTCAGTCATCTAAAACTGACACTGACATACACCCACATAAACTATCCACCATTTCAAGATTTTATCACATATTATTGTAATAACACATTTACAATACAGTATTTTCTAGGCTGCTACTATAGAAAGAATCGGTTATAGAACTATAAACGATGTACATTGGCAATGCTGAGGAACCATTACCTGTGATTGACAGCTTTAACAACTGCCACAATTACAAGAATACAAGAACTATTTAAAAGTGCATGCAAGTACAATGTAGAATCAAGAGCTTTAAAGTCTGTTCTAATGATGATTAATATTTTGAGTTTGAGCTGTTGAGAAGTTTGTGAGAGAGGAAAAAAAAACCTATGGAAAATCATCCCAGAAAGCATGAGAAGAAACTTAAGAATCTGCATGCAATTAAGTTATGAGTAATTAAGGACTGTACAGTCAGCATTGCTTTCTTTAAAAAAAAAAAAAGGAAAGAAAGAACAATAAGTAACACAGTAACCCAAAATTCACTATTCTCTACATTGAAAATACTGCATTTTGAAGAGGTTTACTGTAAAATAAAAGCAAGTAGGTCATCTGAACACATTACTGTAAAAAATACAAATAAAACAATTAATTGTAACATTGTGGCAACAAATAGGCCAATATGGTAAAATGCATTTACGTGTCAGGTGTAAATAGATGTTATGATTGATTTTGATTATATGATTATTAATAAGTAAAAAAGACAAGGCAAAGGCGAATTACCGGTTGAGTGAATTTCACTATGGAAATGCCTTTTAATAACTGCATAACTTTTAAGGTATTGTAAAACTTTACAGTCAATTAAAAGTGAACTTCTACAATGTTAAAAAGAGAGAACATGACTGATGAAGTGTGTGTGTGTGTGTGTGTCATTTCAGTGCGTTGAGGCCAAACCCTGAGAGGATCCATTGAAACAGGTCAAACCTCTCAGATCAGGTTTCACTGTTCACTGTTGGGAGGAGCTCAGGAAAAGTTCAGATAAAGAGTGGCACGAAAACCTCTAGAGAGCTTCTTCACACTCGGTTAGGAGACACAAAACAGCACAGATATCCAAAATGTTTCGTTGTGGAATCTCGTATCCAAGATGCAGGTGGATCCTGCCTTTGATTATTCTGTTCGCGATCATTTTCGACATTATCGCCATCGCGGCGCAGTCCGGATGGGTCGAGGACGAGGACGCAAAAACACACTACGCCAGCATGTGGAGGCAGTGTCAAGGCCGCAACGACCAGTTTGCCTGTAAATCTCTCATGGAGTATCGTAAGTATTGGGTTCGAGTCATTCTAATCGATGTTTAATCAAGTTTTAGACATTCACGTGCAGTTCAAATAAAAGCGTTCAACAAAAAAGAAATGAAACAGGCGCAAAAGTTATCAACAAATGTTCTCCCGGTTACGGTAACTTCATATAATGTGTGTTTAAAGTTATCATTTAATAATGTTCTCAAAATGTTAGCACTAATACATTATTCGAGGAACGTTTTTTTCTTCTTAAACGTTTTATTTGGACGTTCCATCTGTCATTTTTTTAAATTTCACTAGTTTTAGAACGTTCAGAGAACAATCAAAAAGTAACGTTCCATAATGTTTGCGGAGTGATAAAATGGAATGTTCCCTTAAAGAGGCAGTTCACCCTAAAATGTAAATTCTGTCATCATTTACTCACGCTCTAGTTGTTCTAAACATGTATAAATTTCTTTCTTCCGCTGAACACAAAAGAAGATATTTTGAAAGAATGCGTGAGTAAATGATGACAGAATTTGAGTTTTTGGGCGAACTATCATTGTAGTGTTAATGTTCGCATAACTTAATGGGAATCTTTCGCGTTGTTATAAACATTTAACGTTATATGTATTAGCTGGGCTGGAACGTTCTTATAAGTTAAGTTGATCCGAAATAAAAGCCCATAAACTAATAACATTTATATAATTCTTATTCTCTGGGCAAATGGAAATAATTAATGTAACTTTCACAAAGTTTGCAAATGGAGCCACATTTAACCAGTTTAACCAGTTAAATTAATCAGACGAGAAAGTTGACAGCTTAAACCTCCAGGCAAAACCTGCCACTCTTTTGTGTTTGTATTCCTTTACCTCAGCTGTTATTTAATTATTTCACCAATAGAACATGTCTAAACTAAGGCCTGACAATAAAGATCTCTCCATTACTGTTTAATTGACATTTTGATGTAGGAATATCAATACCACAACCCTCTTTATGAACAACAATGTGTCTAAATTATTCATAGATGGGGAATATTATATGATGTGATGCACTAATCCCTTTCATAGGGTTAGCACTTCATATTGTGTCATGAAAAATATGACTATAATCTGAGGATTGTGAAAACAATGTTGATCATAAGCAGTTGTCTGAGAGTGATGAGTTGACTAGATATGGAGTCAGACCAAAAAAAATACAAGTTGCATCAATCATATTTTTTCTGAAACTCGACCACACCCGTCCTCCTGGGGTGTGACTGTATTCTCAGACTTCTCGGAGCAAAACACATTCCTCTATTGAGCGTGAAGAAGCAAACGCTGTCTCTACAAGTCCTGAAACTGATTCCGAGTGAAACTAGTTAAGCATTGCTGTATGTCTGTTAATGTGTAACCATCCACATTACAACCTAGCACTGAAAATGGCCTCGTGTGTTTTCTTTAAACCTCCTCGTGTTGATTAATCAAGTGAAAGTGATGAGGTACACAGGAGCTTCTCCTTTTGTTTAGTTGTTTAGATTAACCATGCCTTGTTTAATACATGATACATTTGTATAATTTGTTTTTAATAAATGTAAGCCTGCTAATAGGTTTTGTGTCATTTCATTTGTACACTTTTCGAATAGTGTATATGCAATAAAACCAATAATCAGCATGTCATAGAGTTCACACATGTTCTAAATTGTTACACTGTTTATTTACATTTAAGTTAAGTTATAATATTTTCCACTTCGTTCTATTTATTATTATTCTGTGTATTCCAAGCTTTGGCAATATTGTATTATTTACAGTCATGCCAATAATGCAATTATGGTCTTGTTGTGGTTGTCCCTCCAGCATGGGCTCAGGCGGTCGCTGCTCTGATGATCATAGGCCTCATCATCCTCATCATCGCCTTCATCATCTCAATCGTGGCTCTCTGCTGTACCCTCACCATCCCGCTGCTGCCTATGATCGGAGGCATGCTTATTTTGGCTGGTAAGAGACTTTCTTTGCTTTTTAGTCTGTTGGAAATCAAGGAATAAGGGCTGGGGACACCTTCATTTCGGCCAAAACTCAACAAAACCGAGTTGTTTTTCCACGTCTCCAGTCCATGTGGGGTTTGAGTCAAACTCTTTCCCAGGAAATTCCACAGTAGGATCATTTCCTTCACTTTGTCTGTGAAGAATTGAATGTTTTCTGGATAATTCGCGGATGTAGGGCTGGGCGGTATGACGGTATAATACTGAACGCTGTTATTTTAGTGTCATTAAGATGCTACTACAGATTTTAACAATATTTCGATTTTTATTTTAATATCTTCCATTTTCATTTAAAAATTTGCTGCCATTTATTTATTTTATTTATTTTTTTATGTATATTTTCATATCCGTCTTATTTTTTGTTATTTTAGTGCGTCAAGTTAAAAGAAAAGTTGCCTTAATTTGACATTTTACATTTTTGTTTGCATTTTATTTAATAGCTATTATAACCTGGACCACAGAAATGTCTGTAACACTTTATTTCGATATTTCACTTTAGACATTCAATTAACTAGCAGTCATTAGAGTATTAGTAGACTTTCTGCTTAATATCTGCTAACTCTTTATATTGATGCTCAACAACAGACATTCACTGACTATATGTAACTTTACAACTAAATGTCAACTTATTCTAACCCTTACAGTCTACTAATACTCTAATGAGAGTTAGCTGACATGTAGTTGTAAAGTTACTTACTGTTAGTGCTGTGTCTAAGTGAACTATCGAAACCAGTAAAACAATACAGAGCAGAAATCAACCATCCCAAATAAGTGAAGACAAGTAACTCCTCATTAAGGGGTGGAGAGTTTAAAACGCTTTGTACTGGATGTGTAACTTTGGTCTTTCCGCCCTGTACTATGTGCCTTTTGTTTTGCTGTTGCTATGCGATCGAGTCTCAGTGTGTTGCGATCACAAACCACGCTCTCCCCCTCCCCCATCCGATACACTCGTTCCCTTGTTCACTGTGTTCAGGTGAGAGTCGAGAGCTCTCCGTCTCCTATTCCTCACCAGACTGAATCACAACCTTTTCTTATTCATGTTCTGTGATCTGATGTCTTACAATGAGCTGCTTATTGTTGACTTGGAAAGACGAAATAAATGTTTTATTTCAAACAGACGATTATAATAGTTCACTTAAACTAAAAGCATTAAAAAACCCTGCAACTTGAAATAAAATAAATGTCTGTCAACTGATATTCTAATTTTCAAGTAATTTATGTCGACGTACTAAAATAACTAAAAATAGAACCAGAAACTAATCAAAATGACAAAAACACACAACAAAACGATCAAAACTTTAAATTACAGTTAAAATGAAAATATACAAATTAAAGCTATTATCAAAATATTGATTAGTATCTCAATGATACTAAAGGTTTGCCGTAGTGCAGTGGTTTATACTCAATGAAACACTGAAGCGCTCTGTGTGACCTGGCTGTTTGAGCAATAGTTCCTCAGTGTTAGATTAGATTACAGCTTTGTGGCTCGAAGCGTCAGACACAGCCTTGTGTGAAAGTTTCCACACACCCAAACAGGGCTTGGCTTCACCCGCATGTCCCTGCAACACTCAGTCACGCCCGTCCCTCCCAGAGATGACGGATTTATTGAGCTGTGCTTTAAGCTACTGATTAAACATGTTTATGGGCAAGTTTATGTGAGGTGCAGTTTATCAAGAACCTGTTTTAACAACATTTACATTTAGGAACACAGGAACATTTAGCAATTTTTTTCAGTTTTTCCTTCGTGATTTCATGTACAGACGACAATATTGTCGAAACGATCCTCGTTCACACGGATCCGCGTAACCGACTAAAAGCGCTGCGTTCTGCCTTCAGGCCAGTAGATGGCGATGTCTCTTTGTAAAGAAACGCTACGCACCTATTGGACACGTCACATGCATTAGCCGGGCTGTCAAAATTGCTCAAAAATGACGTTCGCATATTCCCTCTAATATATTCGAACTATTCGAACATCTGGTTGCGCATTTTGTCAATGAAGCGCATTACGTCAATAACAGGACAAATTAATACAAAGAGACATAACTACTTGTATAGGTAGTTTATTTAAGTTTAAACATATTTGACAACGTATTACCCACACAAAAACAAGTAAATCAACTAATGGCCGCTCGCTAATCTCAACTAATCTCGCTCGCTCGCTCACTCGCAGGCACTCTTTCTCTCTCTCGCTCTCTGCGCATAACGGCAATTTAAGGTCGCGACTCTTGTCCCAAATATAGCAGGCTTCATTCAGCGATTGAAACAAATATTATTAACATTAATTGAAGTTTTACAGTAGCTATAAAACCGACATTGAACGCTCCGAGCGAGCTGTGCTGTGGTAAACATGGAACTTTTCCTTGACATGAAACGGTAAATAATCAAACCAGTTGAAGCCTGCTGTATCTCACCTACCTTATTCATGCAATATCTATTTAGTCAGTACAGTAGCCTAAAGGCTCGTACACACCGGGACGAATATCGGCGCGCGTTATTCACCAGCATCTTTCAACGCGTTTTTTGTGTTCACACCCAAGCGATTTTCGCTGACGATGAGCCGAGTGAACATGCAAATTCATTCCCTGACATTAGATGGCGCTTAATGTAAAACAGAAATAGTCCTATGATGTAGTCGCTGTCGCGTTTGCCATATAGTTCTTTATGTTCCGACACCAACGAGACCAGCAGCTCTACATTCATCTTGCCTCGCATCTTCCTCGTCTTATTTCTTCCCGGCAGTGTAGAAGCTACTTGGCGTATATCTTCTTCGCCGTTACGTGTGTGTGCTCGGCAAGACCGTTTTGTGTTTGAGCGCCCCCAAGTTGTGTTTTACTGTAACTTCAGAAGCTCCAGACACGTGAGCAAAAGCGCCAATCTCATTGGTCGGATAGTCTTTGACGCGGCGCATCAAACTAAAAAAACGACCCCGAGGCGTTTTTAAAAAATGACGCTTTTTCCGCGTGGCGTTTTCCGCGTCGGTGTGCACACTCACATTGGCGCCCTTTGTTTAGTCACGAGGCTTTAAACGTCAGCGAATATCGCGCGCGAAATTCGTCCCGGTGTGAACAGGCCTTAAGGCTACACTTTAGTAATGTTCCCTCAGGCAGTGTGTTTTTCCACATTCGAATATTAATTTTTACCTTCAAAGTTCAGATTTTTAAAACTATTCGAATATATATTTGAATTTAGAATATTCGTTGACAGCCCTAATATGCATGCGCAATTGCGCATTATGTCTTAGTTTTCACAAATTCCCATTTTTGTAGTTAACACAGAGAGGATAATGATGTTGTTTTCAAAAACGTGCACTGTAACCATTTTTAGGCCCCCGAAACGGCATTGTCTTTTAAATGAACGGCCAAAACGCATAAAGTTTTCTGCTTTCAGTTGAACACAGTGTCGTGTAAACGGCCCCTGGATCATGACCGGCGATCAGCTCGTCTTTCCTGCATTCCTCAAACTGGTCTATGCTTGAACTATGAATATTAAATGCCTGTAAATCAGACGAGGTTATTTCTGTTCTTACCAGTAGATGAATTATACACACACACACACACACTACTACACCAGATCAATCTAACCAACAGATCAATCCGTTCAATCAATATACACCTCGATTTTACATTTAAGGGTTGTAACAGTTTCCCTCAAGTTCACACAGGTGTAGTTCATCAAATGAACAGTAGTCTGGACTGCTTTCATTGGCCAAGAAGACGTTTGACCAACATATAAAGCAACCAGTCCCAGCTTGTTTTGTTCCACGTCATGTTTAGGGGTGTGAAAATATAAAGTTGAGGCCCCACAATAACAGACCGGCGTGCTTAAATAATATATTATTCCTTTCAAGAACGTTGTGCAAGTTTACTGTAACAATGGTGCCACATATTTTTGCCTTATGCATGGTGTCTGAGGCTGAGACGAGTTAATGATTTGAATAGGACGTCTATAGTTTTATCATTTGTAGCCTAAAAGTGTCCTTCTACTGTCTGTCTTTCAAATAAATGCCTCCTGCTGTAGTATTTTGTAAAATAATTAGGGATCCACCATATCGGTATCGGCCGATATATGTTCATTTTTAATGTTATATCGTTATCGGCCCGATAAGAAAATTTGGCTGATATATTAAAGCTGATAAATTATGGATTATTTCCTCCAGCTGAGACGCTTCAGATGCGAACTGTTCAACATGATGGTTTTGAATTTCTTGAAATATGATTGGAATCACTTAAAAAAAAAAAAAGGGGAAAATACAGTAAATTGCAACACGTGCACCGCAAGTCTGTCATATCGGCTACATATAATTATAATGAGAACATTATAATTGTGTGTTTGGGACTTGGCTTTTAATGGAGAGACTTTTGTTTTTGTAATCAGGCTCTCAAAAATTATATAAAAATTTGGAATTAGATTTATCGGCCAATATATCGGTTATCGGCTTTCAAATATAAAGAGTTATCGGTTATCGGTATGTATCGGACAACATTTTCATGTCCAAATACTTTTAGGGTCACTGTAACTGAACAATGCTTTCTCTCATTACAGTAGTCATTCAGATGATCGCTCTGATCATCTACCCTGTCAAGTTCAACGAGCTGATCTATGAAGGCTTTTATACCTACACGTGGGCGTACGGTTTTGGCTGGGGCGCAACAATCCTGATGCTGGGGTGCGGGATCCTCTTCTGCTGCCTTCCTCGCTACGAAGACGAGCTTTCCGGGTTTGAGAAGACTAAATACATCTACACCTCAAACCGCTCATAAATGACAATGTTAAGTCACCCAAGACTAAAGCTCAATGCTCACAGATCTCCGAAAGCATTGTCATTTCCCCAAAACAACCGTAGGACAGTTCTGACTTTGATAAGTGCTGTGATCTTCAGCCAAACTGTGGCCGTTTCTCCAACCTCACAGGTTAATGCAATTACCGTTTACTTTCATTTGTTATTCATTCACAAACCGATTGGGTTTTGATGCTTCGTTTTTAATGTCACTCAGCACAGATTGGTCCTGAAAACTCCAGCTTTTCTCTATACATTTTAGAAAGTTACATTCCCCATCACGTAATTAATTATAGACGTAATCGCATTAATACAGCTTAGAGAATAATTGAAAGTAGGTTGCTTTCTTATGACTTTTACACTGGAACATGAATACTGTAATGTAAAGTGTGACTGAGTTTTGATATTTGTATATTTCTAGAACATCTCTACATATCAACATTAAGTAAACATTTTCACGATGTAACTGTACTTGTATATTATTGTGTCATTCCATGTCGGCCTTCCCTAAAGTGCTCTTACTGTCAGCTAAGAATGTGTATTTTGTGTTTGGCTGGCCAAAGTGTGTGTGGAGAGTTTCACAGATATTTTTACAGCAAAATAGGTGAGCAAGTGGGTGAAAATGCAGAACTGCATGCATTCGGCAGTAAACAGATGCTTTTCTTTGCTTTGCTTTGAATTTCGGTAGATCTTGATGCATATATGCCTTGTTCACTTCAGTTGAGTCAGCTTGGTGTGTATGCAGAAAAGAAAATGAATAAGTAAAAAAATATACTCTGCTGGTAAACTTTGCAACATTGTAGGTTTTTTTGAAGCGTTTTACTAGATTCAGATTTTTCACTTTGTCATTTGTGGTTCTTTGTGATATGAATTGTAAACTAATCTTCAATAAAAGGGAGTATTACTATTAAGACAATGACAATTTTTTGTTTTTAAAGAAATTCAAGTTATTTCTGCCTGCTAAGGGAAGTGTTTATGCACACATCTGTAGGGTTGGGCATCTTTGAATTTTAACGATTCTGATTCTTCGATTCAAATAAGGGGAAAAATGTTTTATTTATCATTCACATTTATTCTAAGTCTTTTTGCTAAACATTTTATTGTAGCTGAATACCTTGAACAAAAATAAACAGGCTAAAGAACACTTACACAAGGATTTAAAATACCATAGCAAAAACACCTTATCTTTGTTTCTAACAACAAGTAAACATTCAGTGATTAAAAAGAACAAACAAATTATCAATTGTACAAATAGATACAAGTGACAAAGATACGATGTAAATAAACGGTGTTTTAAGATGGGATGTAAAACAACACTGCACTTTATGAATAACATATACATTACAAATATAGTTCAAACACTTTGTCAGCCATGAACAGCGAGTGCTTGTCTTTTGTTGTTTGATTAAAGTTATTATAGAGATGGCAGCAGGAATATTAGGCTGCTGTCACTTTAAATGGATAGTTAGGGATAAGGGGAGAAAATTAGCCCATGATTTACTCACCCTGAAGTCATCCTAGGTGTATATGACATTCTTCTTTCAGACGAATACAATCAGAGTTATATTAGAAAATGCCCTGGCTCTTCCAAGCTTTATAATGGCAGTGAAAGGCTGTCTGTTTTAACCACAGATTGAAGATGTGGCACTGTTGGCAACTTGGCACAGCTGGCATGACATCTCCAGGAGGCTGGCCGGTGATGCACAACACAGGTGACAAAACTGATGCCCATATAATGAATGATATAAATCTGAAGGATGAGGATCCTGTTCTAGATTGTAATAGACCACAGATTTTAGGCAAATAATGTGTCAAATGATAAGTCTTGTATCTTCTGAAAGAATAAAATGATCAAAATCATAAAGCGCCTATTTTTTTCTTTTTGTTTACTATAGCACAGACAACATATACTATAATATTGATCACATTCAGCAGTGTTTTATATAATTTCAATGGGTTTTCTGTAAAAAATTACACTGGAATATTGCATATGGACCACTGGGTATGAGTATGAGCAGAGTTTAGATTTGGGTAGGTGGAAATTACATAAAAAAGGTAATATTCCTCCCTTCAGATTTATTTGAATATCTTTTTCATTTTTTATTATAGAGAAAAAATTATTTTTTCCAGTGTTTGCTGTCATCTAGAGGAAATAGCCATACTTGTCTGCATGTCCCTAGACCCCACAGGGCCTGAGTTATACAAAAAATCAAAAAGCGCCTCTTTTTTTGTGCTCATTAAAGCTCAGACAACATATACTTAAATGTTTATCACTTTTAGCACTGTTTTATGAAACTGCAAAGGGTTTCCTGTAAAATGAATTCCAAAAAAATAATTCATTGGATGAACATGATTTAATCATGCCACCTATATTCCATCTAAACAAACCAAGTTAAGTCAACCAACCTTTATCATGTTATTTGAACACAAAATAGATGCATTGGTTAAACATGATATTAACATTTCCATTAAACTCAATTGCATCTTTTTTGAGTTATGTGTTTTAATCTTAGTTAATTTAGTTATATTACTTTTGAGTGTAGCTATTTGCTAGCAGCAGCACATATTAGCATCTTAAATGCTAAGATTTACACGCTCCTTCAACCAAAGCAGTAGAAAAACTCGAAATCAGTCCAATGCCAAACAAAATGCTCCACTCTTCTCCACCATGTAAGCCACTGTAATTTAAAAGGTTCTAATAATTCCAATGTTATTGAACATTAAACACAATTACACACTATCAAGTCTTCCCCTTTTCTCATTTTCTCCAAAAAAAATAAAAATAATAACACTTAATTTTAACATTTATTCTCTCTTAATTCAACCATATGCGAAGCATGCTGAGAACTAACAAACACCGCCCAGTTTCAGTCAATGCAACACAAATCAATCATGTAATCACATGTAATAGATATAGTTAAACAGATTGAACACAATCAAATTAAGTTAGGGCAAAATGGCAGTTGGCGTCGCACTATACTGCCACCATCTGGATGTAATATTTTTTTACTTAACATAAATAGTTTGTGTTTAGACAACGCGTTAGGATTTTGTACTGTTAAGTTGAGGCATAATTATGTTGACCTTACTAGAAAAAAAACATTTCAAGTCAACAAACACAATTATTATAAGTAAACTTAATATAAATATATTATGTAAAGTGCACAACCTTCCTCGTTCATTTTTTTTGAGTGTATTTAGGCCAAAGTATGTGGGAATGGGAAGCTTTTTAATTTGGGTTGGCCAAATCCAGGCGGAAATCCCCCAAAATGGCAAGGATTGTAAGAGGTTAAAGTCCATAAAAGAGCATCTATCCATCATAAAAGTGCATCTATCCATCATAAAAAGTGCATCTATCCATCATAAAAGTGCATCTGTCCATCATAAATGCATCTGTCCATCATAAAAGTGCATCTGTCCATCATAAAAGTGCATCTATCCATCAAAAAGTGCATCTGTCCATCATAAAAGAGCATCTCTCCATCATAAAAGTGCATCTATCCATCATAAAAGCGCATCTATCCATCATAAAAGTGCATCTATCCATCATAAAAGAGCATCTATCCATCATAAAAGTGCATCTATCCATCATAAAAGTACATATCCATCATAAAAGAGCATCTATCTATCATAAAAGAGCATCTGTCCATCATAAAAGTGTATATCCATCATAAAAGTGCATCTCTCCATCATAAAAGTGCATCTGTCCATCATAAAAGAGCATCTCTCCATCATAAAAGTGCATCTATCCATCATAAAAGAGCATCTATCCATCATAAAAGTGCATCTGTCCATCATAAAAGTGCATCTATCCATCATAAAAGTCCATCTATCCATCATAAAAGTGCATCTGTCCATCATAAAAGAGCATCTATCCATCATAAAAGTACATATCCATCATAAAAGAGCATCTATCCATCATAAAAGAGCATCTGTCCATCATAAAAGTGCATATCCATCATAAAAGTGCATCTCTCCATCATAAAAGTGCATCTGTCCATCATAAAAGAGCATCTCTCCATCATAAAAGTGCATCTATCCATCATAAAAGTGCATCTATCCATCATAAAAGTGCATCTATCCATCATAAAAGTGCATCTATCCATCATAAAAGAGCATCTCTCCATCATAAAAGTGCATCTATCCATCATTAAAGTGCATCTATCCATCATAAAAGAGCATCTATCCATCATAAAGGTCCATGCGTTTGTGTAAGAAAAAGATCCATTTTTAAAATGTTATAAAGTAAAATTCTACTTTCGCCTATAGCGCAACTTATGACGTCAGAAGTAGTGTAGTGCATCTTGGCGTAGTGTAAATATCAGAAGTGCGTCGCATTACTTGCATAAGTTGCGCTTAGACTTAAGTCAAATCGTACTCGAGTACTGCGTAATATCTTACGCTAGGGGAAAAACTCTTTTCCACGAGATATTGAAGCCAAAAAATTATCCTTAATTTTGAATTAATGTAAATTTGCGTTGCAACATGCGTTGCAACAGCATGCAGACATAGACAAGACGGCTCGCGTGCCTATTGGCTGACCTGCGGCAACAGCAGCAGCCTATCGAGAGAGGCCCTGCGTGACGCCCATATCCAATTTCAGCATTCTGCGCAACGGGGCAGACAGTGCTGGTTTTAGACCGACAGTAGTTTAGCCTGTAAGGCGGGAACCTCTAGGTTATAAAACCTTATAAATGTAGACGCCGTACAGATATCCTGCAAGGTAATCCCGCTATACCACGCCCACGACGAGGCCACGCCTCTCGTGGAGTGCGCTCTGACGCCCAAAGGACACCGCAGGCCCTTAGAAGTGTATGTTAGCGCAATGTCATCGACTATCCACCTGGATAGGCTCTGTTTTGATGCGGCTAGTCCCTTAGAACGTCCGCTAAACAAAACAAAGAGCTGCTCAGTCTGTCTGAAAACAGAACGAGCGAGACACATAAGCTCTTAGTGCCCTGACAGGGCAAAGGAGGCTCACGTCCTTCTCTTCGTTGACAACCGGGAGAGCGGACAGGGAAATAACCTGAGCCCTGAACGGTGTGTTGAGGGATTTAGGCACGTACCCGTGCCTTGGTTTGAGTATGACTTTTGAGTCATTAGGCCCAAATTCCATACATGTCGCGCTCACTGAAAGCGCTTGTAAGTCCCCAACGCGCTTCACTGAAGCGATAGCCATAAGAAACACTGTTTTGAATGACAAATGTTTCATGTCTGACAAATA